AATGTCACATTGAAACTGTACAGGTCATATAATGTCACACTAAAACTGTACAGGTCATATAATGATACAGGTCATATTATGTCACACTGAAACTGTGTAGGTCATATAATGTCACATGGACACTGTGTAGGTCATATAATGTCACACTGACACTGTACAGGTCATATCATGTCACATGGACACTGTGTAGGTAATATAATGTCACACTGAAACTGTACAGGTCATATAATGTCACATGAACACTGTGTAGGTCATATAATGTCACACTGACACTGTACAGGTCATATCATGTCACATGAACACTGTGTAGGTCATATAATGTCACACTGACACTGTACAGGTCATATAATGTCACATGGACACTGTACAGGTCATATAATGTCACACTGAAACTGTACAGGTCATATAATGTCACATGAACACTGTGTAGGTCATATAATGTCACACTGACACTGTACAGGTCATATAATGTCACATGGACACTGTACAGGTCATATAATGTCACACTGAAACTGTACAGGTCATATAATGTCACATGGACACTGTGTAGGTCATATAATGTCACACTGATACTGTACAGGTCATATCATGTCACATGGACACTGTACAGGTCTTATAATGTCATACTAACACTGCATATGGCGTATAAAGTCAAATTGACACTGTGTAGATCATATTAAGCCACCTTCACATAAGTCAAATAAAGCAATAATGACACTGTATTATAAGGTCATATAACCTCAAATTAACATTGTATAGGTCACACTGACACAGTATTAAGTTTTGCATTCCAAGTCCAAATTTAAAGATCTCTCTGAATACTTAAATTCAGCAATTTTCTGAACATTAAAAAAGTAAAAACTCTTTACTTCATATACTTGAGTTAAACAGAAATATCTTACCACAAAATTCAGTCTATAATTGTTATTTATAGTCCTAGAATCACAGACAGAAAACCAAAATAAATTATTGTAAAAATCAGAAAAATCTGCATCATAAATACTTATTATCCAGGGTGCAGTTTAAAACCAATGTCATAAATCATAAAAAGGAAGAAAAACAATTTATTTTCAAGCTGAGATTACTAGGAGTGGTATTCTTGAAATAAAAGACTGTATCAACATCACCATTTAGGCAGAAAATAGTACAAGGAAAGTAGTTTCAATGGTTAAGGTTTAAGGACAGCCAGTGTAAGTTGAAGGCTGAATGATATGATATGATACAATACAAAATGATACAAAATGATACAATATGATACAATATGATACATTACAATACAGTACTATATTATACATTTTTAGTTATATAAGTTACTGATGGGATTTACTATATATAAGTTCACAAGAAAACACAGTTTTCAATGAAGTGTAGGAAAAAGGCACACGTAAATACATGTAGGATGACTTCAGACATTCCAGAGAAATTAAAGTTATTAAAGCGGTGTAAATTTTAACTACTTTTTTGAAGCAATAACATTTGAATCAAGAAATATCCCATAAAGAGCAAAAAGTAATACATGTACTGAATTTTATGCACACACAAAGTGGTATAGGTAACAGTCAATAATGTAGAAAAATATCATTTATTCCCGCTTTGGTTCTCCACTGTGTATACACTATAGTATACAAAGTGTTTAGGAACACCAAGCATATCACAACTTATGGTTATGTTCAAAACAAAGCAAGTAAATGACTCGGAATACTATCCATTTATTCTATAAAGAAAGAACTGATGGAACTTTGTACAGAAATAATCACTTTACAACAACAGTATCATTTCTTCAATAATTAAAACTCTCTACAATAAATGTAACCTCTGTGGAGCAACATCAAGATCTTTGTCTTCCAAAAAAAGCATTGCAAGGCTTTTCAATTTTGGGTCATTTCTCACAATTAGAATATTTATTTGGGAGAAAATTAGTGAGCAAATGACCTGAATTTTTTCACACAAGTTAATTGTCAAGACCTACATCAAATAAAGCATTAATCTAGAAAAATTATTTCAAACCCTGTAATGTTTAAAAATCTCAGTGGAGTCCCTTTAAAGACATTTTCGGGAGTTTTCATATAGACATATACATGAAGGCAAAATTTAAACTGTTCAATAGAATTTCTTTAAACTTGGCATGTTGTTAGAATATGATAATAGAAACATTTTCAGCGTTTTTGAGTTATCTGCCCTTGAATTGGATTTTTTTGATAAATTCAAGGGCAGATAATTTACAAAGAAGGGAAACAATACAATTTTTTTATCATTTTTATGAAGCTTACCTTCGTTTTAGTTGATATGCAAAATTTCAAGAACAAATTAAGAGTGGGTAGTTTTTATTCCAACTTCTTCTTTTAAACTGTGCATTTTTTCTTAAAAAATGGCCTTTTTTTTAAGAATTTAAAGTACCATTATTTTCATTGAAAATAAAAATTAACAGAAACGATGTAAGGAATTGCATGTTATTATGTATTGTACTCAACAATAAAAAGAAAAACATAATTCAGAAGTAAAAACAAGAATTCATATTAGTATGTATAAGTTATCTTCCCTTGAAATGACCTCAAATGAGTAGAAAAGTCTGAATCAGGGGCAGATAACTCAAAAACAAGAACGGTGACCCCAATTTTTTTTTTCGCTTAAAATGTTTCTGTTATTATATTCTAACAACATACCCAGTTTAAAGAAATTCTATTGAACAGTTTTAATTTTGCCTATATGTCTATATGAAAACTCCCGAAAACGTCCTTAAGAACTGGGTAAAATACTGCAGAGCTACTTAAAAGAATCTCATCCAAGTAAATTTATTAAGAAGACTCTTTAATATTGGTAATCTATTTTAAATTGGAAATTCCCTTCAATAATTGAAAATTTTTCAATATACACATGTAAAAAAGTAGCAGTCAGTAATCAGTCAGATACAAAGCATAAGAAACAAGTCCTTGTTTTATATTGCTAGCATAGCATTTCTTATCTCTACTTGTAATTTGAGTGAATGTAGTCAAGCGAAGCGAGAGAGGAGACTAACTGAAGGACATTTCTTCAAAACATTGAGGAACAAAATTAACCTTAAAATTGAATGATTTTTCATAAAATAACACAATAATCAATTAACATTTAGCATTAACATATGTTCAAATGTTTTTTAATAAAACTCAACTATCCTTTAAAATACCATTCAAATAAGTAACATCATAAATTCTAGAAAAGTAAGAGGTAAGTTAAACAAGAGGGCCATGATGGCGCTGAGGTCGCTCACCTGTATATAGGCCCCTGGAGCAGGGCCAGTTTAAACCCCAGGGCTTTTATTTGAACAAACTTGGAAGACACCCATTAGAAGATGTTTCTTGATGTTAAGTTTTTTCTACACACATATAATGAAAAACAATGACCTCTGCCCTCTCCTGACCCCACCCCCCGGCAGGGCCAATTTTTACCCAAGGGCTTTTATTTGAACAAACTTGGTAGAAGGAAATATAAAAAGATGTTTCATGCAAAACATTTAAGCTCTAGCTCATTGGGTTTTTTAAAAGAAGATTTTTTAAGTTTTTACTATACACATATAGTTAAAAACAATGACACCCCTGGGGCATGGCCAGTTTTGACCCCAGGGATTTTAGTTGAACAAACTTTGTAGACACTTACCAGAAGATGTTTCATGCTTAATATCTAAACTCTAGCTATTTGGGTTTTTTCAAAGAAGATTTTTATGTTTTTGCTATACACATATAAGGAAAATCAATGACCCCCGGGGCGGGGCCAATTTTGACCCCAGGGATTTTATTTGAACAAACTTGGTAGACACTCATTAGAACATGTTTCATGCTAAATATCTTAGCTCTAGCTCTTTGAGTTCTTTAAAAGAAGATTTTTTAAGGTTTTACTATATGCATATAGGGAAAATCAATGACCCCCTGGGGCGGGGCCAATTTTGACCCCAGGGCTTTTATTTGAACAAACTTTGTAGACACTCATTAGAAGATGTTTCATGTTAAATATCTTAGCTCTAGCTCTTTGGGTTCTTTAAAAGAAGATTTTTCAAGTTTTTACTATATGCATATAGGGAAAATCAATGACCCCCTGGGGCGGGCCAATTTTGACCCCAGGGCTTTTATTTGAACAAACTTGGTAGACACTCACTAGAAGATGTTTCATGTCAAATAACTAAGCTCTAGCTCTTTCGTTTTTTTTAAAAGAAATTATTTAAAGTTTTTTCTTTCGGTTGCCATGGCAACCAGAGTTCTGCATGGAATTAAATTCTTTGAACAATTTTTAAAGGTGACCACAAAAGGAACATTCCTGTGAAGTTTGGATGAAATTGGCTTAGTGGTTTATGAGGAGATGTCATTTAAAGTAAAAGTTTACGGACGGACGGACGCCGGACGAAAAGCGATCACAAAAGCTCACCCTGTCACTTTGTGACAGGTGAGCTAAAAACATCTAAGATAGTGTCTGATTAATTGTGGAGACATGACACATTATCTCATCACATATACAAAATGTAATTTCTTTAATTAACGGTCGTGACAAGATCGCCTTCCTAGTTTTAAATAATTCATTAGTTTAATATTAGCTTAGCAATTTATGTCACTCATACTGGAAGGTCTGATAGTCAGTACTGTCTCATAACATAGGTCATAATATAGGTCATAAGAAATGGAACTATTTATGTGATATTTCAGACCATTTTACTAAAAATCATATAAAATATTTCAATTAGAACATTGAAGGGAAAGAAGTGTTAAAAAAACAACAAGAAGAAGCATAAGTCTGATACAATTAAACCTATAAATTAGCAAACGAAAACTATTTTACATTTTCTGCCCAAAATTTCAACCAACAAAATTTTAACACTCATATACAATGTTTCCCTTTGAACTTAACTTTGTTGAGATAAAATAAACTAAAAAAATGACATAAGAAACCTTTTCTTTTTTATTTTATTTTTTAGAAACATCTTTGAAATTGTCATTACCATTTTTAAGTTCGGATTATACACCAACATTTCTTACCTGCTTGTGTCTTTTGGAGGTTTAAAACATTGCATCATCATAGCAAGTACCCATATGCCAGCTTGAGGATAAGGAACCACAACCTTGAGAGAACCTTGACCTTCAGGTGCTGAGCTCGTAACATTACCATGGTAACCATTTTCACAGTGGAGAATATCTACATTTACCGGGACAACATCTCTATGGAGACAAACCGCAATCTTCACATTCAGATCCTTGGGCTGACAAAAAATAACAACAGAATAATCAATGAATAATATGCATGGTATGGTAAATGCTTGACTGTTAAAGCTATTCACAAGTTTAAAGTCTAAACTGTAAACCTTCTATGGATTATGAGTAATAAAGTTTTGAAACCATTACAAAATGCTACTCTAATGCTGATACTCACACAAGTATGATAGCCCCAGTTTTCTAAAAAAAGTAAATCTTAAGACACACAGGAAAAAGTTTGAAATCTTTATCATTGACTTGTTACAAAAGGTTCTGATACCAGTTAAGTACTAAATGTATAGAGGCTCATAGGGATGACTGGGCTTGCCTAACTGTGTTGCCTCTTTAAATAAAATCATTATTATTATTATCATTATTATTACTTACATCAATGGTTGTAATTTGTTTAAGCTTCATATTGAGAACCAGACTGCCTCCAGTATCCTGCCCATCCTGTAACTGGAATGGAATCCCCCGTGACTGGTTTTCTGATAGAGATAAACTTATATCTTTTAGCCTGGTTCCATTCACAAGTGCAAACTTGTCCTTGAACTTGACATTATACGAGAACCGGCTTAATAAGGGAGACAACTGACATGTAGAATCAGGTAAGTATTTCTCCTCCATTGTACATTCTGAAAAATTCAAAAAATTCTGGGTTTATATAAATAAGTTAATATAATGAACACTTTTATAAAGCTTATTAAACTTTTTATACAAAATCCTTATACAAGGGATATGCAATCCAAATCTGGCATAGTTAAATTCAATGTTACAACAGTAATGTTATCATTATATACAATTCTGATATATCAGGAAGTGATTAATTCATAAACTTTAATTCAGTATTGATTGAATAAGAACAGGATTAAATGACCGGTTATTTAGAAATTGTCCATATGTATCTTGGTTTGTAATGGCTGCAAATCATTTTAACTGCTCAAGCAATTGCCACTAACTGTTGAAAATTGCGACAAATTGAAAATAGTAAAACCACATGCTTTAATTCCATACAATAAATCAGAATATTTAAAGCAATTCTATGCATAAATTTATGAGCCACATCATGACAAAACCAACATCCGTGCAGTCTGATCAGGATCCATGCTGTTCGTTTACAAACCCTGTAACAAGTAGAGAAACTGTTAGACCTGATCAGACTATGCGGATGCACAAGCTGGTCTGGATCCATGCTCCATGCTGGGCGCAAACCCATTATGTTGGTTTTGTCATGGAATGGCTCAATTATATGAAGTTAAAAAAAATATCAAACCCTATGACCCTACTCCTATAATTACATGCCCTTAAAATGACTTTCCTTTTTATACACATCTGCATCTACAGTTTATTCAAACTGGTAAATTTCTTGCAGTCAGCAAATATTCCCCCTTCTTTCCTCAATAAAACATAACATAATATGACAAAAAGATTAAAACCTAGAGCTATATTATACTGATAAATCACAGACAAAAAAGATTAGACAAAATAGCAGGAACTTGTATGTTGGTCACCAATATCAGTTCATATAAGGCCAAAGGAAATAATCCCAATTTTCTGATATCCTCATATCTTAAAATCTCCATCATATAACAAATTAAAAGACTAACATTATTCAAAGGAATGGAAAAATTAATGTATGAGAAATATTATCGCAATTGCAACTTTATTTTAAGTAAAGCTATAAAAAAATTCTAACAATATGGCAAAATGATAAACTAATATTATACTCTGGCCATGGATGTAACTAGATCTTATGTAACAAAGTAGCAGGTGTGTTATATGCTGACATTTCCAACCTCTCGTTGATGAATTCATACAAACAGATGCTTACTATATTCAATTGTTACTCATATTTTGTCTCCAATGACATCTTACATGTGTTTGAACAAATGATGCAACTTGATTTATGAATTATGCAAAATGATGGGAATAATCCAATATCTTACTGTCACATGTTTTTAAAAGTTTTGAAAAGTAGGACATAACCTTGTGGTCAATGAATAGAAACTTTGAAAGTGTTTCTCTTTCAACTCACTTCAATAAATAAAAGTCATATAATAGATACGCAGGTTTTTAAGTCATTTGACATTTAAAACATATGATGTATTGGACAAATGTAATTCAAGGTTGACATCAAACTTGGTACAAAAATTCCCAAAATAAAATCCTTAATAACATTCATTTTTTTTAATTAGCTGTGTTTCTTTGTAAGATGCAGATATAAAACATAAAGTATTCACAGTTTGTCCAGGTGTTGTAGATATTCTGCTTCATTGTTTGTCAAGAAAAGTCAATAACTACATGATTGTAGTAACTCCAGATATGTGTTGCAACATCTTATTCAGCTGTTTATGAGACAGCTTTCAACAGATTAACTTCTCTATTATAATTAAGTTATCTAGAGGGCAACTCTGGTCAACAGCCAATAGTAGAACTACTGACCTTTAGATAAGCTGGTTTATACCTTATATAATATTAAATCATTCAGCAACAATACCCTTTATTAAACACGATTTGCAGTGAAAGACAGGGTGATGTTGAGTCAGTGATTTTTAAAGAATCACAAGTTCAGATATTCTCGCATCAAGAGGGTGATTGTTAAAGGTTACATTTTATCCAGAAAATAGACTAAGACCCAATCTTTAAATTCAAAACACACCTTTCAGTACAAATGATATAGAAGCAGTCAATGTCTCATCAACAGTAGACTGTATCTCCAGATAATTCCAAGCATTCACCTCTGGCTGGAAAAGTTGAAGAACACAGTCTGTCTCTGTTTCAGAACAAATTTTTGACACAGTTGTAGCTTTTGGACCAGGAAGGCCATGACCTCTTACTTTTAAGGTCACTGCACAACCTGACTGGTTTCCATAGTTACAGCCATTCAAATTAACTAGTAGTTCATGTGATTGTAGAGGAACATAAAATCTGGAGAAAAAAATACAAACAAAATTATTTAGTATCAAATTATTTACAATCATACAATCACTTGATGCCAGTATTTATGAAATAATTATTTGTAAGCAACCTTTGGGTTAGTTACACAAACTTAAAAAATTATAAGTTGAGAGAAACTATGCTAAAAAACAATATATTTTTCTTAAACATTCCATTTGACATTCAATGATTCAAAGAATCTAAATAAAACAAGAGGGCCATGATGGCCCCGAGTCGCTCACCAGAAACGATTGCTTTTCAGAGTTGGAAATTATCCATTGTCAGTATTTTCTGATATTTAATTTGAGCATAGAATATGTTTAAACATTAATTTGAAGAAATGCCATGACCTGGGGCATTTAAGCTTTAGCTTAAATGGTGCCAATCATGTTAATATGAGCAAACTTGATAAAAGACTACCTAATAATGCTACAAAGTTTGGTGATCATCTATCAATTATTTCAGTAGGAAATGTTCAAAGGTTTTTCTATTTTTGGCTTTGGTGGCCCCTAAAAGGGGCCAATCAAATTAATATGAGCAAACTTGATAAAAAGCCTACCTAAGAATGCTACAGACAAAGTTTGGTGATCCTTCATCAATTTGTTCTGTAGGAATAGACATTTAAAGGTATTTCTATTTTTAGCTTTAGCGTCCCCTAAAAGGGGCCAATCAAAATGATCAAAATTGATAAAAGACTACCCAAGAATGCTACAGACAAAATTTGGTGATCATTCTTCAATTAGTTCTGTAGAAGATGTTTAAAGGTTTTTCTATTTTTAGCTCTAGAGACCCCTAAAAGGGGCCAATCAAATTAATATGATCAATCTTGATAAAAGACTACCCAAGAATGCTACAGACAAAGTTTGGTGATCATCCATCAATTAGTTCTGTAGAAATAGACGTTTAAAGGTATTTCTATTTTTAGCTTTAGCTGCCCCTAAAAGGGGCCAATCACATTAATATGAGCAAACTTGATATCAGACTACCCAAGAATGCTACAGACAAAGTTTGGTGATCATCCATCAATTAGTTCTGTAGAAGAAGACTTTTAAAGGTTTTTCTATTTTAAGCCCTAGAGACCCCTAAAAGGGGCCAATCAAATTAATATGAACAAATTTGATAAAAGACTACCAAAGAATGCTACAGACAAAATTTGATGATCATCCATCAATTAGCTCTCTAGATATAGATGTTTAAAGGGATTTCTAATTTTAGCTTTAGCGGCCCCTAAAAGGTGCCAATCAAATTAAAATGAGCAAATTTGATAAAAGACTACCCAAGAATGGTACAGACAAAGTTCGGTGATCATCCATCCATAAGTTCTGTAGAAGAAGATGTCTAAAGGTTTTTCTATTTTTAGCCCTAGAGACTCCTAAAAGGGGCCAATCAAATTAATATGAGCAAATTTGATAAAAGTTGTTTTTTTTTGTTTTGTTTTGGGTTTTACGTCACATCGACACAGTATAGGTCATATCGCGACGTTCCAGCTTTACTGGTGGAGGAAGACCTCAGGTGCCCTTCCGTGCATTATGTCAGGCACGAACGGGCACCTGAGTAGAACCACCGATGTTCCGTAAGCTAGCTGGATAGCTTCCTCACATGAAAGAATCCAAAGTCCCTGTCGGGATTCGAACCCACAGAGGTGAGGGGCAAGTGGTTTGAAGTCAACGACCTTAACCACTCGGCCACAGACGCCCCTTTGATAAAAGACTACCCAAGAATGCTACAGACAAAGTTTGGTGATCATCCATCAATTAGTTCTGTAGTAGAAGACATTTAAAGGTTTTTCTATTTTTAGCCCTAGAGACCCCTAAAAGGGGCCAATCAAATTAATATGAGCAAATTTGATAAAAGACTACCCAAGAATGCTACAGACAAAGTTTGGTGATTATCCATCAATTAGTTCTGTAGTAGAAGATGTTTAAAGGTTTTTCTATTTTTAGCTCTGTTGACCCCTAAAAGGGGCCAATTGAAATGACATGAGCAAATTCAAGTGTGACTGACACAAGGATGCTACAGACCAAATTTGAAGTAAATCTGCCCAGCGGTTTCAGAGAAGAAGACGACGACAGACTATCCCCCTTTGATACTAATAGCTCACCCTGAGCCTTCGGCTCTGGTGAGCTAAAAAAAGTGTATGAAATAAGTTCAATAACTGAAGTAAATAAATTTCATTAAGCTTCCAAATATAACCTATATCACATGTCTGAATATAATGTATATGCTTTGTATCTAAAGTGTTACCTTACAAAGAAACTCTTTCTATAAATGATGCTTTTCTGAAATATTTAAGAATCTGATTTAAAACTATAAAGAAAATATTAAAATAATAAAGATAATAAATATATATTAATTCACAGACAAAAAAAATGGTTGAAACACGTATTTTATAAAATGCCTGTCTTACTTGAAAATTCTTTTCCCATTTTTTGGCAATCTGACATCAGTTTTTTCATTTACATCAACAGAAGCTACATTGTCAAGTGTCTTAGTAGAAAACCAGTTTCTTATCTTGTATTTACACTTTGTAAACAAATCCTGAAATATATATCATAGCATCTTTAATGCATTATGATAATTTAACAACATTTTTTGTCCTTACCCTAACAGCAATGTTTGTCCTTCACATAACAGCAGTATAATTTTGTTTTAATGCTTTACTTTTTTCTAAATATCACAGCAAAATTATCGTACTTAATACAACAGCAGAATAATTTGTCCTAAATATAATACAGTGCCATTTTGTACTATGCAATTAACTTTTTTTCCCTGGCTTTATTCTTTATTGTTTGTTATATTTAAACCTTGAGTGTATTTTGTATATCAATTACCCTCCTCCACAATTTTATGGTTTAATAAATAAAGTTATTAAAGTGATAGTCCGAACATTTATTTTCTAGCAGACACACAATCAAGTAAAAAAGAACTATCGGAGGACAGTAACGGTCTACTATTCGAAAAGTTGTCACAAGACTAGTGTGTTTCATTGAGTATAATAATGCTTACCTATATGAATACATAAAATTGTCCGAAAAGGTACAAAGGCTTGTTATTAAGATGTTTTATCGAGTTAATCACTGCTTTATTATTATGAAATTATTGAATGCATAAAATTGTCCCAAAAAAGGCATAAACCCTTCAGTAGTTATGGAGATACCAGCTTACAAGCAAAAACTCTACCTAGAAATTCTAAGCCGAAAAAGGTGCATAATTATGAAGAAAAAAAACCTTCCGAAAAATTATTAATTTAGATCAATTTTGAACTTAAAAACATGCACTGATCATATAAAGTGAAATAACAAAGACGAAACTCCATCATGGAAAGGAATTAATATAAGTGTTATGCTTGTTTTCCAATCCATATATATTGTGATGTAAAAATGTTACATGCTTGTAAAAATTGATGAATAAAATATGTTTAAACTAAAAAATCAGAGTTATGGGACTTGTGCCAATCATGTTAGATAATCACAGAGAACAAGTGTGTGAAGTTTCAATCCATTCCCTTCAGTAGTTATGGAGATACCAGCTTACACGCAAAAACTTAACCACAGGGACACCGATGCCGACAAATGGGTGACTGCATGAGCTTGATTATTCTGCGAATAGTCAAGCTAAAAAGTGGGTTAAGACATGAATCCTATTTGTTAGATAAATAATTTACCTCTAGGATGTCAGCTCTCTCTCTCAATATGTTTATTTAACATAATTAGGATAACTGTAAATTTTGCATGTTTCTTATAAAATAGTACCTGTAAATAGTGTTGAATATAAAATAAAATTGTCTATAACTTACACTAGGTCTTATATCTTTATCAGGTGGAGGTAGGTATGCTACACTGTACCATGGTCCTTGTTTAGGTTTACTCACAGTAGATTCTAGTGTCACATTATTTGAGATAAGAGAAAATATTGCCCTTGAAGCTGGACTTCTAACTACATAAAAGTTGTCGGGAAATTTTTCACCAAGTGGGTTAATCACTGGTAGACTTCCATGTTGTATCACACTGTAATATAAGATAACATAAATCAGTTTCCATGGAAGCAGATAATCTGAAACACACATTAAAATGTCTGACTCTAGATGAGATATTAATCAAAGTTGTTTATTTATTATCTAATCTGGAAGATATTACTTACATTATGCACCTATGCACCTACCTACACTAGACAAACATTATGTTCTTTACTAATAAACTTTTCCATTCTTTAACTCAGGGCTAGGAATCAAAACTGCGTCGTATCCCACAAAATGTAAACAAACGCCGCCATCTTGGAACGAAAAATGTATAGCAAACTTGCAACTCGAAGCGGAGCAGAATTTTTATGAAAATGTGTGGATACGACGCAGTTCATATTGCTTAATCTATCGTTTTTCCTTCAAATCAATTATATATTTCTTTTAGAGTTCACCATAAACTTCGAAATATTATTTTGCATCATTTTCTAAAATTTCATTAAAAAGAGATGTTTATTTTCTAAGAAAATAATGATTTTAACGAAATGATACGACGCAGTTGAAAATAAAATATGATACGACGCAGTTGTAATTTTGGCAGTCTTTTCAACAGGGATAATTTTGGCAATATATTTCTATTTTATGGAATAATCACTTGCGCTAGATAAAAAAAACCCAGATCATTTGCGGTGTATAGCAATGTTCTGTTGCTTTTTGGCGTCCGCGCAGAAGCGCGGCGCCTCTTATGGAATGAAATCAGATTTTGTGAAAGGGCGACAGCAACTTCTCGAGCCTTTTAGTCGGTAATAATAAAAGCCGATCATTCCGATCGGTATGAGGGTGCTTGATTATAAATTAAATGTCGCGATATGTTACTAGATTTCGCAATGCAAACATTTTCAAATGAAATAACCTTTTCCGTCAATAAATCGCGCTCTTCGGGGTTTTTTATTTATCATTTTGTAGTACACATTGGCTTATCATGGTATGTTATTGTTGTACATGTATCCTAGAATGATCAGTTGATGACCTAAATATTCCGAAAATCTATTTATAGATATATCTATTTATCACTCCTATCGGTAATTCCCGGTCTCTCCCGGTCTATTTTGACCGGGATTTACTAGTACCACACGTTTATTGTCCGGTCTCTCCCGGTTTTGGAATAGATGTGAGATAGCGTTACAATTCGAAAAAAAAACAACCAAAAACAACAACAATAGCATGTTTCATTTTATCTATATGAGATAAAAACAATAAATATGTACAATAATTGAGAAAAAGGTACATTTTTATGGTATTAATATGACATTATCAACTTTGAAACATTTTATTTAATTTGTTATCCGTGTTTAGTAAAGATGCCGAGGAATTATTCAAAGTTACAAATTAGATTTTATGAATTATTCAATTGATTGATAATTTAAAAAATGATAAAGAAAAATACAAATGTACATGTACATGGTTTAAGAATAAACAATATTATATATTGAAAGATTAACCATAATTTACTGACTTTTTCCAGTTAAGTTTTGACTTATAATCGTCGGTCAATATGACAATTGAATTCTTAAAATTTATTTTACAATTTTAATAAAAAAAAGAGTAGTAAACATAAAAACTCAGTATTAAAATAGCACATAAAACACAAAAAAGAAAAGAAAACAATATTCATAAAATCTGTATTTTTTTATTAAAATTAATAGATATTACAATTATTGTATAATAAACAATTATGCTCAACATGATCAACATGGTAATATAACCAGTGTCATATTTTTACTAAGTGTGAACAGATACCTTAAGAGGGGGTCTTCGCTAATAGCGATAACATAATAAGGGACAATTACACAAGTTTGGTACATGTTGATCATGCGTTACACATATCGATTATAAATGACTGTATACATGTATATCCGTTGCTATTAATAACCACAATCATAAAGAAATAACAAGTAATATTCTAATCTCTAGCATGCCAATCAAAGTTCATAATGAACAATGTCTTTCGTCCGCTGATTCATAAGTGATATACAATTCTGGTAGTTTATAAGAATATCTTGTCATCATATGTCTACTAGTTCATCTTCACTTGCTGCATTTCTTGCTTGGACGCCCTTTGATGCTTTGCATCAATGCTTTTCTTGTGATTATTTAGAATACATTGTGTCATGTCCAATATAACATTTAATTTGAAAGTTTACATTGCGGAAGCTACTTTTTAGTTAAATATGAACATGTTACCTAATTGATCATAATATCTGAAATAATTTCTTATATTTTCCTGTATGTTCAATATTATCCCTAATTTTTTTCGCAAAAATATTGTAGAAATCTATTAACTTGAATTCATTTTGGCTAGCTACGCTCTAAGTTAACTGTGGTTCTGCATGTTTTTGGTAATGACTGCTTTTTTGTGGTTTGTTTTCAAACTTTCACTCTACACATAAGCTTTACTAGGGGCGAGGACCTCAGGTGCGCCTTTGTGCATTATTTCAGGCAAAATGTTGCACCTGCAGAGAACCGATCGACATTTTTAAACTAGCTTGATAGGTTTTCCACACGAAAGAATAAAAAGTCCCTGGTGGTTTTCGAATTCATAGCAGTTCAGTTCAAGTGATTTGAATTCGGTAAACATAAACAGCTCGGCCTCGGTCGGACACACCTGTCTGATTTGTTTTTTCAACAAAATTTGTTAACGTCAGCTGTACATCTAAGCAGCTTTTTATTAACTTCTGGCATGAAGTTTTAAGATTATAAATATTTTAATTAATTATAAAGAGAATAACATTTACATTTCTTATTTCGGTATGACTAGCAGAGAAATTTTCAATGTAAACAGGGGGTAATCCTCTGTGAAGTCATTTTCTAAAAACTTTTGTGTAAGTTTTCAGGCAATTCATTATCAAATAAAAGTCACACTTTAGTATGAAGGTATGTTAAAATGCCATGTCTCTAGCCTGTTGAAAATTCGATGCGATAATCTGACATAAATTTTCTGTTCAATATTGTGAAAACTTCTTCAATACTGTTGAAAGATCATGTCTGCCTATATCTGTATCAAATTTATCGGTGCACAGCGTAAAATACCTTTGCAAAACGGACACCTTCTTTACAAAATGATTTGTAGTTGTATCATATGTAACTCGATTTTGAAAATTTAAAGTTTTTTAATGGAGAAAAATAATATTTAAGTGCAAATATAGAAAATACATTCCGTAGACCTTTCCTTATCGGCGATAAAGAAATGCAATACGACAAAATCAGCGGCAAAGTTCCGCGGCGCTGAACATAAAATGACTAAACTGAACGCATAACCTACTTGCAAAAATATATTGTAGCCTAACCATTTATAATATGATTTTAAAAAATTAAATGTTCAGTTTCAAATAATAAAGCTCATCTGTTCTCACCGATTATTAAGAAAATGAATACAATAAAATCGGCACGTAAAAGACATAAGTAATAACGGAATTGACGGAAATTATTGCTAATTACAAGTAACAAAGGTAGGCATGCAATTTGCGCATAGCTCTCTTCCGATAGCAAGAGACCTTTTCAAAAATTGTAATTCTTTCTCTTTTTTCTTAAAAAAGGTCATTCCTGATTAATACAGGGTCCAGGAGAGGTACACTGGAATATTGAATTTTGTATCAAAAATGGTAATCACTCCAATTTCAAACTCACGGCAACAATTTTAGAAGCACACTAAGGCAAAACTGGAACATGTTGTCATATGGGTGTGCGATCACGTGTTTCAATGTATATTGCATTTGATACAGCTTTTCGGAATTTGTAGATGCTTATGATAGGTACTAAAATGCGACCTAATAGAATTGTATTACATTTCCATTTTTATGGAACCATTGAGTGACCTCTGCTTTTGACTTAAGTTGTAAACAAGAAATGTTGTTGGACGTTATTAGCATGCCTAGCACATAATTTAAATAGTTTATCCAATATGCAGACTGCAATGAAAATACAACTGCGTCGTATCATATTTTATTTTCAACTGCGTCGTATCATTTCGTAAAAACCATTATTATCTTGGAAAATAAACATCTCTTTTTAATGAAATTTTAGTAAATGATGCAAAATTATGCTTTGAAGTTTATGGTGAACTCTGAAACAAATATATAATTAATTTGAAGGAAAAAACGATAGATAATGCAATATGAACTGCGTCGTATCCACACATTTTCATAAAAATTCTGCTCCGCTTCGAGTTGCAAGTTCGCTATAACTTTTGTTTTACAAAATAGTTGTGCAAGCAACATATACCGAACGAAGCGGAAAATAGTGTAGCGTGTTAATACATATATCTGGTTTTCAATCATTTCCAACAAAAAGAGTTATAAACAAAAACATACATTTTTCGTCCCAAGATGGCGGCGTTTGTTTACATTTTGTAGGATACAACGCAGTTTTGATTCCCAGCCCTGATTAATTACTTTTCTCCTCTTTTGTTTGTTTGACTTTTTGAGATGACCCATGTTTGAACTCATCCAAGCAATTACTTAGACAAGCATCCTGACCAAGTTTGATGATGATTGAGTCAAAAATGTAACCACTAGAGTGTTACCAAGAATTTTCCATATTTGGGTGTTGTGACCTAGTTTTTGACCCCAGATGACACTTATTAGAACTTCATCTAGAAATCATCAAAACAAACTTTCAGACGAATTTCCAGGATATTTGGATCAAAACAGTTACTGTAGCAACTAGAGTGCGAACAAGATTTTTCTATTTTTAGCTCCTATGACCTAATTTTTCATCTGATCAATTACCTAGACAAGCATCCTGACAAAGTTTGATGATGATTGAGGCAAAAATGTGACCGCTAGAGTGTAATGAACAAATTTGGACGAACGACGGACATGCAACGATCCTAAATGCACACCCTGTTCAAGCTCAGGTGAGCTTAACATCATATAGTTTTATTTTAGGAGTTATTACTTTTTATCAATATTCCAAACATGTCTCAAATGTCTTTGATATTGTGAAACCCATGTATTTTATTCAAGTTTTATATTCATCAAGCTCAGACATGTTGAATACTTACGGTACTAAACATTATTTTTCCTAAATAATTTGTACTAGGAACAGCAATTTGTTTTCAACTGTCTTAATGTTTAACTTTTTGCATTGCTTTTATAACTTACATTGTAACATTTTGATCTTCACAATCAGCTGGGTATTTACTGACTTGATAACCCCACGTAGATTCTGTAGCAAGTTCGGGTACGACATGGAAGAATGGAGAAGAGCTGCCAAAATCCTTGTAATCATACAACGCTGACCAATCAGTCAACTCTTGACTTCCAAAACCTGAAATGTCATGAATATATTATTTTTTTTCAGATTTTTTTTAGCACTGATTTTCAGTGTCGGCTACTGGATTTATTAATGTTAAAGATTACATCAGTGTATATCGACTATAGAAATTATGATAATTAAGTTTATGTACACCATTTGTTATAATTTAACTCATTAGTATTTTCAGACACCCCCCCCCCCAAAAAAAAAAAAAAAAAAAACACACCAAAAAACACTGATCACACTGATCATCTCGCCTTTAATTACATCAACCACAAAAAAATTAATAAAATTTTTACTTTAATTTATGAAGTCCTCTTTATGAAAAACAAGCTTTCATTCTCATTAAGGGTTTTTGTTACTTTTTGTACTTTTAACAAAAGTTATCGGCATGGGACCAAGTCCTATCCACAGGGACAAAATCAAACAATTCTATCAAAAAGTATATAACTTTAAACTATGAATAGTTTATACTTATACATGTAGTATTGTTTGATTTTGTATAAACATGTATCTTGAATGATATTTACTTTATGTTTTTTGGGGTTAAGGTATATTTGGGTAGTAGAGTGCCCTGGGGGGATGGGTCCCTAGGGGTAGGGCTTGGTCCCACAATGATAACCTGTGATTTTAAAATGCCTTACAACTAGCCACTTTCTTTCTTCAAAGTCGTGACAGGTTATATGATAATACATATTGTTATTGTAAATGAATAAACTTGAAACACAGACACTTGGGGGTCAGATCAGTCATCACCCTATACCCCAATTTGAACCGCCCCTGAAATTTGAACATTCCATAAAAATGTTTTAACACAAATGGGGCATCTACCTTAAACAAAAATTAATTTTTAAACTATTTTTCCTATGAAAAAAAATCCATGTACCGACAAATATAAAAAAACAACTAAATTGCAGACTCCTAAATGTACACACAAAGTTTCAATAAGAACATGTGTTGATTTTTCCAGTGTCGGCCAATAATTTATAAAATTCCCTTTCAAAGGCAATAAGAATCATTACATCTATAAATCACATTTTAATACCAATTAACCAAAAACATGGAGCTAAATATAAGATGGAGAAGAGACTGTGACGTCACACAGTTAAAATCAGTATCGGCGGAATTATGTTCCTGCAACTTATCATGTCGCCAGATTTTGCGAGATTTGATGCATAAAAGTAGCCAAAATACCACCATATTGAATTCCCGGAGGTACATCAACAAAAAAGACTAAACATTTTTTACTTATATATGAAGCAATAGTTATAAATTCTTAAACGTACAAAAATCACTTTTCCACACAAATATTTCTCCGATGAAAATCCATGTCGGCAATTTAAGCAATAATTCACAGATATCGCCAAAGTTTAACAATAGCGTGAAAAATAGAGACTAACGGGAAAGCCCGATTATCACCGAAGCGCACAAAGGATTGTGGGTCTGAATCGGACTCTCGTCTGTTATCGGAGTTTCCTATCCGTTGTTTATATATCTGTGCCAAAAACAACCTTTTATCAATTTTGAAAGTAAATTCAGCATCTGGTCCAAGTATTAAAAGGAGAGGTCCTGACTTGGTGCTAAGCTTTTATTGAGCAGGAGCACAGACATGTACACGTTTCCATTAGTGAATTACAGAGTAATTCCTGGCTCGGAAGGCGAACCAAAGGAATTTATCTCTGTTGGGTTCTTTGAATAAAGAATTTGTGTTTACATTTTGGAGTATCCTAATTATATATGTAAATATAATGCAATCTACTTGACAGAACATGGAATTTTTTTTAATGTTAACGCAATTGTTTTAAAGCAATATGAATGATTAAGACAGATGCGGCACTTGTGTAAAAACCTTAAAAGATTTTAATTATTTTTGACCGTCTAATTGGGTTCAAGCCTAGGGATAGGGTCTGGGTGAGTGGCTGTGACTTGATCTGTTGAAAGCCATGTACCAGTAAGATTGTTTTCAACATTTTTAAAGTTCTCAAATTTCTCAAAACGACGCATAAGTTTTCCCAATCTAAGTCAACACTAGGTAATGTACATGTATGATTCAAGGTGACAACTTGACATTATTTGCTGCATCAGTGATTTCCCACAAATTCTACATTAAATATAACATAAAATGTTATATACACAAGTTTAATCTATTAAACTTTATAAGTATAAATGTTTTTTGATAAATTTAAAAAATAACATACCGCAAGTAAAGTGCAAAATGCACAAAATTATAAGTTTGCAAAACATTTTTTCGACTAGGCAGCCATACTACTTCCGTTCATTAAATCTATAAATAGATACGGAATTTCCTGCAGTGCGACAAAACGAAAGTACGGAAAGGCGCGATAAATCAAAATCCACGCGATACAATTCATTTCACCAAATTTAGAAGAGTAACAAAATTAAAAGAAAAAGAGAACAACAAGAATAGACCAAGAGCTATAAAATGCACTGTTTAAGAGCAGAGATCACCTTGTTGGAATTACATTTAGTAAGATATTTATTCTAGGAGGGAAGCTGATCTATGTCTGGAATCACACTGTCTGACAAATAAATCATTTCTTCAGTCATTAAAAAGTGGTACCTGTCTAAAACACGGGACTGTCATTTGAAGTCCCAGCTAAAACTCAAGAAGATCTAATGTGGAGTCATTGTAAATGAATTATAATCGGTATACATGATTGTGTAGTCCAGGCACAAAACCAAATGCTACTTCCACCCCAAATTCCAAAAGTAAGTGTAATTCTTCAAAAGCCAACAAAAACCTTAATGTGTGTGAAAGGTTGTGCGTCTTTTAAACATAATCTGCCGCTCTATTAAAAATAAAATACCAGATTTACAACAGTATCCCAAGTCAATCCTGACATTATTTGCTGTACCGAAACATGGCTAAAACCTGAAATATCAACAGCTGAAATTCTCCTGACTTCTTAAACCTTCAGGTATGTAGGGATGACATACTAGAGGGCAAAGGTAGGAAAACAATCATTGTCATATCTAAATCCGTCATTAGTCAGGAACAACCAGATCTGAAATCAAATTACAACTCAGTTTGGACCAAAATATCCCTTAAAGATTCTAAGGACATCTATATATCTCTTCCTTCTAGAGGATGACATACCCCTCAATGAACTTTGATCCATAAAAATATCCCCCAAAATAGTAATGTCTGGGTGCTTGGAGACTTCAATATGCCAAACATCAACTGGTCAACAGAATCCCTGATAGAAGGCTGTAAGTTGCCAAACTTATACACTGATATTGCCACCGTTGAGTTTTTTTCACTGTACGATTGCTTGCATAATCTGAAAAACTAGTCGTCCGATTACTTGCGAGGTCATTGATCGGTTTCTTGAAATATCGTTTGCATTTCTGATCAGTAGACTTGTTTGAAAGACGACTTGTAAACAATATTATTGTTATTATTATTATTATTATTATTATTACATGTATTATTATTATTATTATTATTAAATAATTATTGTCCCCTTTTAAAGATATTTTTCAAAAACACGTAAATATCCTTTGAAAAAGTTATTATTTTGGAAAACGTGTGTCATATATTTTAAAAAAAAGTGTACAGAATGTACATGTTCAAATCGAAGCAGCAAATTTCCCTCGTATATAATCTGAAAAGATGTTGAATGATTTTTCCTTTGAATCAGTGAAAAATAGTTTCAGCAACATTTAGCAGTCGTATATGCAAATTAAAGATGGTATGGTCTACTAGCAGAACTATATCAGGAAGTGGTTTGAATTCTTTAGTGGACATTGCTGGTAACTCTTCGAAGTATTATTTTAACATACACATTTTCTTACTATGTAAGTCTAAAATGCTTAATTTAACACACTTTTATTCAATTTTGCTACATGAACATTCTTATTTGATGCTCATTGTTTACTATTTGTCGGGCCTTCTGTTGAAGAAGGTACCTCTTATTTTAATATTGGTAGGTAGATAATATAATGTATACGATTTGCAGTCTGATCTTATAATTATGTAACCTAAGTCATCAATTTTGATTAGAATTTGGAAAGTGCATTATTTCACTGTATACAAATGTAAGCCACTGTTTCAGTGCGTACAATGATGAATATCTGGAAGAATGAGGGATGTTGCACTTTTTCATTATCCCTCATGTACAGACTCAATCAAACCAGGGTCTTTCAAATAGACCCTGATCAAACCGAGTCTGCAATTTTCATGTTAATTTTGCTGATTTTAATAAATAAACTCCTTTATGTATCTCCTAGTTAAAAAAGTAACAATTCTTCAATGATTGATCTTTATTGAACTTATTTATCAATTTCCAGTCCAAAATCGGCAATTTTCCTCATTTGCGTGGCAATAGTTAACGAGCGTGTTAGAATGTCTCTCAAATTGTTCTTGCTCCAGTTAAAGAGTATTAGTATTGAGAACATTGTGTTTTTATGTGTTTTTTTTCTGAGTATACGTACTTGATATGCTTGTAAGTCAAACTAAACAACCTCAGCAAATTTATTTATCTAGCCAATATGAAAAAAAAAATGATTTATTGAATTCATATCCTAGACTATAACAATGTTCATTATATTCACTGTTAGACACTTTGTGTATGAAAAATTACTGTTATTCAATATATAATTTCATACTTATTAAGAGCTTATTCTTCAGAATGTATAAACCGAAACATTTATTATTCTGTTACGTTTTAATACCAACCGTGACCAAATGTTTATATGTATTTCTAGCAGTTTTGATGTATAACGAAATACATATTAATGTATAAGTTAAATAAAATTTTCTTCTTCTACTTCATGAAATGTAGTCATTTTTTTCAATTGTAAAACATGTGTCTGTCATCTTTGTGTATGAAATCTGTAATAATGAGTATGAACGATATAAAAAATTTTTTTCATGAAATGTATTAAAGAATTATCATATTAAAACTGAAATTTTTATGCGAAAAGTTTTTACAAATGATAATAACTAACTAAATAACAGGAAGATACTAGTAGTGCTGTCATTTTATATATGTGTAAACATTCAGCTTGTCCTTTGCATTACCATGATGTATATATTTTACTTTGGAAAAATCTGTATTCATGGCACTTACGTATAACTTTAAATGTTCCATGATTACCGCCGTATGAATACAATTGTAGTTTAAAATTACCATTTGAGCCGCGTCATGACAAAACCAACATAGTGGGTTTGCGACCAGCATAGATCCAGACCAGCCTGCGCATCCGCGCAGTCTGATCAGGATCCATGCTGTTCGCTTACGAACCATATAACAAGTAGAGAAACTGATAGCGAACAGCATGCATCCTGATCAGACTGCACGGATGCGCAGGCTGGTCTGGATCTATGCTGATCGCATACCCATTATGTTGGTTTTGTCGTGACGCAGCTCATTTTATGTTCAAATCTGCTTATGGCAGTGCCGGAGCGTGGTGATTCTTAATCTCTCTATTTTATAAAGCGTTACAATTGGGGAGGGGATGATAAGGGTATCAAAAGTCAATTGCTTCAGTTTAATCAACTTTCTATAAACTTGAAATCATTAACATTTCTAAGAAAATTTTCTGACATTTCAAGCTTAAGGTAGAACGCGACACTTTGCGAACTTTCGAGTAGCGTCTTGAAAATTGGCATGCAAAAAGTTGACCATATTTCTGATTAGGTTCCGTTAATTTTGTTTCAATAATTTCAGCCTATTTTTGTACACACGGCGTCTAAGTTGACCATCAAAGCCCGTTTTTGAACATGACGTCGTTGCGTATCCTTGGCAACTGTAACGGGCATTTTAACGCCAATGGCAGACAAAATATCTTAAATTCTACAGCATTCGACGGAAATTATTTTTTCCTTTAAGCTGATATAAAATTTATCGTTTTACGCCGAACAATGTTTGAAAAATGGAAAGAAAATGCATTTACAGTTACATTAATGATGTTAATATATGCTTTCACAGTTCTTAAAACAAACTGTAAGTATTTAGTTAGTTCATGTACATTTGTAGGTTTGCTTGTATTACTTTCTCCTAAATGAAGCAATATTCTCGCGTTTTTATGCAGTGTCGGCTTGAAAGTTGTTTTGCAGTGTGCGAACTAAAATGTGTCATATCAAGATTAGATTTTACAACCTCGTATAAAAATCGACGCATGATTATAAATATACATTTTGTTTTCATTTTAATAATTTTCTTTGAATATATCATTTGTTTTGTGTGTTTTTGTTGTATTTTAAGTCACACCGACACTGTAAAGGTCATACGGCGATTTTCGGGGATGCATATTTTCGGGGAAATAATTATGTTTAAACTAACGCCTCGCGAAGATATTATGTATTCTTGATCTGAGCCAGAATATGTATTACAACTGTAGTTAAGAACTTATTCGTTTTGTTTGTTTGTTTTGTTTGGTTTTACAGTGCACCAACGAAAATGTCATATGGCGCCGAAACAGGAAAGATGAAATTGGCTAACATCGGGAGTTAAAGTTTAAAGCAATACCAGGGATCAAACCTACCTCACCTGCTGAAGCTAAGATATGCACAAACTCCTTTAATTCGAACTCATTTAGTGGTCTGAGGGATAAATGGTGGCTGCAATGTTGATGCCTCAACCCTTATATATAGGCAAACCATCAGTCACAAGGGGAAGAAATTATTCGAATAATTCCATAAAAAGTAGGAAATAAAATATGCAAACTATTTTCATTTCTGCAAACAACATAATTTTTCAAAGAGCTTCTTGCGACAATATATAAAAATATAAAATATATAATTATTATGTAATATTATAATGGATATAGATTTAATTCTAGTCATTGGCCAATCAGATACAAACTAACATAATTAATTAACAGATATCCCCTTAATCTGATTGGTATATTTACTACAGGTAACTTAAAAAAATCATTACGCATAATATTAAACATTGTACATTTTATATAGCCATTAATGTAAAACACGTCGTATCAAGTTCAGAAAATTATACAAAAATTCTAATTAATGCAGATAAACGAAATGGTTGAAACTTACCGGTATTTTAAGGTAATGCATATTCATATAATTATTGTCATAAGATAACTGGTTTCAATAAAAAATCTTTTAAGCGATTATCTTCATCTAAAGGTTAAAGGGACATTCTAAAGAAGAAAACTTATGTTAATTGATGCATATATTTTATGATGTATTCTTTTCCCAAACAGCCGAATATTCTAGCATATCTTTAATCATTGTAATCTTTTTCCATTGTACGAAAGTAGGCTACTTTAACAATTTGACCGAAAACAGACAACGAAAAGCTTATTCTCGTAGTTTTACATAAAAAATATAGATGTAAGGGTATTGTATATGATTCAGTGAGTTGTCCGAGACGATCAGCGTTTTGTAACAGAACATTAAATTTATTATTGCTCGTAATCTTACCATACTCTAAGTCATGTTATAAACGACGTTCAAATTAATTAAACGCTGTACTATTTATTATACAGCTACTATACAGTACTTTTCCAAATAGTGATATTGTTATTCAGCTTTAATGCAGATCCGGACTTGTATTTTGTCCTGTGTGCACCTTAAAAATGTACATTTTTTTGACAAACAGAACTATTTTAGATCTTTTTTTACACGCACTTAAAATATGTTTTGTTATACGCACTTAAAATATGTTTTGTTGGATTTTAGATAAAAACATTCAAACAATGACTTGTATTTTCTCCGGTGCCATTTGATTAAATAAAATATATTTCCAGGAATTAAACAAAATTCTAATATTATATTATGTTTTTAAATTTAAAAAAGTCAACTGTACTCCACTCATATTTTTTTTATTTGATGTCACAAGGTTGATTATTCTGAAAATCAATTATGAACTGTCGCTTGAAATAGAAACACTTTATAACATATATGTATGCATAAAACATGATTTTCAACATGAAATATTTAAATACAGAAATAAATTACATTTATGAACACTTTCAACCCAGTTTCAATTTAACATATTTCCCAAAGGAATTGTACAAATCTCTGTGATATAAGTGCTTTGATTTACTCGTGCTCTCATTTACAAATGATACATGAAATGTGTCTTATAAATACACGCATTCTGCGAACTTCTATATCTGCATCCTCGTGGACTTCATCTCACACATCATTATATATTACTTTACAATGGCGCATGAATTGTCTCTTTTATCAATTAAATGAGAACAACAAATCAGAAATCACAGAAAAGAATCAGGTCGCCGGCAATGACAGTATTGCATTCAATAAAATCAGCAAGTCGTGAGAACGCCGTAATGTCAACCATTTTCCATGCAAACTTCTGTGTCCTCAATTTAATGGCACTAAAGGCGATCAATAACTGACGCAGCTCTCTCTTACTATTGGCTTTCTACAGCCCTACAATTTTAGTTACGTGTTTTCTGATAATTTTCAAGCAGCTTATTGCCTTTTTTGCTCACATATTGTTATGTTGCTTTCATGTAGAGATTATGATACCAGTGTTTAAAGATCGTTATAATTGTTTGTAAATAAGTGATTTTTCGGCATGCATAATCTGGTTGAAAGAATTGAATTGCAATAAATATTTAATTAAAAGGAGAGCCAAAGTGTATATTCATTGTTTGGAATTGCAAAGATGTTCGGCTGGGAAACAGACGTTAGTTGACATGTGTTACTATAATTAGAATACTCTTTGACCACGAGCATACATACGTGTATCTATTCTTTTCTTTGTATTTGGATGTGTAATACATGTGTAGTCCAGATGAAATAAACTGTCTTGTAAGCTACAGTCAAAGAAAAGGTAAATTTATTTTTCTAATCCTCCTTTCCCCTTACATATGCATTCAAAGTTCAAACAAACATATAATCTTAGAAAAAGACATGTGCTGTCTTTGCATTATATTATATTGTTGTCTGTGGCTATGTTAAAGGTATTCTATTTTATTTTTTAAGTTTGACAGCCAATCATCACATTATGTAATCCAAAAGTTTGAAGATGTTATTTATTTTACCGCGGTATGCTTTTATTCGTTACCCGTCATAAATAATCTTAACCTAAATTTTTGGGAAAGTTTTTATACCGCGATATTTTGTGATAAAAGAAAATCTACTTTCAACCACCTTCATTGAAAAATATAAATCAAAACACAGTACACAAAATTGATAAACCATTATTACATAAATTTGTAACAGAAAATGAGCACATATAGATCTATATGAACACATGTTCAAATATAAACAGAACCTAAAGAAAATCATGACATCGGTATCAAACTATCGGATTTTACCACACATATGTACTTTTACTGATAGATCTAACAATAACTAATAATCTACATCTAATGATTTTAATTCTATATAATATATAAAATATTTCTGCATTACGTTGGAAAACAGTGCTGTCATTTACTGTCAATAATATAAAATTACATTTAAAATGAGATATTAATTACCGTCATTTACAACTATCAGTATATTATCCCGACTTCTGATAAATCAATGCATGTATTTTCGATGTTTGTGTTGCCATTACGTGCATTTTAAGGAAAAAATAATATCAAAAAATGTCATAGTCTGAAAAGGGTGTAAAATTAACATCCTAAAACGCTTCACACTATAACGATATATGCACATCATAAAAAGGAATGCTTACACGCCATATGACATCAGATGTGACGTAAATAAATAATGGAAATGGACGTCAGGAATATTACTTTGAATACGCTCAATGTAGTTCAACATATTTTTATCAATTCTTTTTCATTAGCATGTTAGAATGATTTTTTTTCTTGCATTATAGTATAAAAATGCGTTTTATCGTTCAAATGCTTCGTTATTATTACGTGTTATAACGCGCGCATGGCCCCATCCGCCTTGGTGATTATATATTCTTGTGCATTTGAACTCAAACCGTACGACAATGCACTCAAAATTAATATCTATATCCTTTATATACACTCTGTGCATATCAGGCATGACTGGTTCATCTTAGACAAAAGACTACTCTAGGCTTATTGTCCTTTGTGATATAAACGATAAAGTTCTGCGAATTGTAATTATCAAATACAGTTATGTACTTTTACATAATTACATGACATAATAAATCTACATGCATACCTTTCAGAAGAAGTGGGTCTAATGATTCTGGTCACTAAACATTTCTTTAATCATCATGTATATAACATATGCTTTGGTTGCCTGAATAAGTGACAGATCTCTATCTAACAATTTTGATAACATATGAAGCAGACGATCAACAGACGCCAATGGATTTGTAGACTTAAAATAACTGTACCTACAATCAATAAAAGCGTGTGATGTCTCTAGATATTGTATGTGTTATATTGAAACTGGCACATTGTATTTGCAATCTTTTCTTTATAGACTATTCATATGATTCAAAAGATAATTCACCGTGTTACAACCATGCTAAAACGGATACTTAATGGCCTAAGTATTGCAAGATCTTCAATAGGGCCAGGGGACTTTCCTAAAGATTAAAGACCGTCCTAAAATTTTACCGTAAGCAATTTTGCAAATATGTGTTAGTAGATGATTTAGATCCACTCAACAATTATGTAAAATTTAATCTGTCCGAAAGTTCAAAAACTGTTTTGCTTATCAGAAAATCTACGTAGGACTAAATGTATTCTTTGTATATTTTGACAATGTTTGTGTCTTAGTATTTAATCATTCATGAAAACATGAATTATGCATTTACTGTAAATCGTGTACTTCTGTGAGCACATATCAGCTATTTTCGTTTCCGATTAAATTGTATTTTCTCCTATAGAAATGTCTTATTATTTATTCATAGCAAAACGACACATTGTAATTATTTCGTTGAGATTTTTCCAGGAATTAATCCATATATCTTTACTAGAGGAAGAGATGAGTTTAAGGTTTAGATGTTTTTACTTAATTTGTCTCTTGCGACGACATGAAATTAACTTTCCTGCTTGAATATGAGATAAAGAAAACAAGGAGAGGTAGATTCTAGAAATGTGACATGTTTACCAGAAAACAGAAATATGACGTCATTGTTGTGGTGTCTTGTACCACATGTGTGGCATGATGTCTGTGTTAAATAATAATTATTTTAAAAGAACTGCGTTCATATGGTACGTTCAACGTTTAGCACAATAATACACGCTCTTCGTGGTAAAGATTTATTTATTTACGCATTCGTTCAATAATTAATTTATTTTAAGCCACACCAGGATTGTTTTAAAGTTGAACCAAAAACAAATGTATATTTTGACATTATCATATAAAATAAATTATTCACGTTTTATTCGTTACACATACGCCATTGTTAGGGTATGTTCTTAATTTTACACAATATCTAGCACTTTTCTGGTAAATATCAGAAATTTATTTTGCCAAAATCGATGTGTTGCTCAAAACTTTCTTTATGCATCGCATCTGTAAAGCAGATTTTGCACAGACTGGTGTATTTATTGCCTATACATTTAGCAAAGAGTGAATCATTATCGAAATATCGTCTATCTAGATTTAATTAATGTAACCAATTCAATTTTGATATATAGTGTTTCTGTATTGACCGATGTCCATATTACACAATAAAAAAAGTTATAACAATGGCGACAAACGAATCACATGCTGTCCAATATTTTGCAAAATCATCGACAAACGATTATGAACATTTAGGTGGTTTCAATGTTGATGTCATCAACATTTTCAATGAAGTTGATTAAATAATTTTCAACACAAAATGATAACCGTTGTATAAGTAAAAAACTACAAAAATAGTCAAAGAAAGGACCCCGTGATTTTTTTTTAAATTAAGAGGATTACCCTTTGATCTTATAATTTTAAATTCAGCTGTTTAAAACAATACTCAAATTGACGTCATTCTAAAATCATGATAGGCTATGTCTGGATTCTCATATTTCGTCACCATGGCGATATGTTCTCTTGTCTTTCAGCTGTATCTTTTGAACGTAAACATTGTAGTTTTAATGAACAAGAACATGTCGATTTGCGAAATCAGGCTTCAGCAGTTAGCCTTTATCAGTTTAATGTATTGGTCTTTCTGGAAATCTGCTCTAAAATTCAGAATTTCTCAAGGGAACTATTTGCCTCGTTTAAATTCAGTAGATAAAATTTATTTCCCAGAGTTATGTACGAATTTTGGAGATAAGAACAATGTGATTACAGTGACTTGCATTAAAGCAAGACATTGTACTGTAATGTGATTACAAACAACGTGTCGATTCTTACTTTATTCGAAAATATTGTCTTACATTTTTTGAAAAACGAATGACAGCTGTCGTATAAATGAAAGCTGTTTGTTGTTTTACTATGTTTTACATGAAAGAAAAAATAACCAACATGCATCGATTGTTTTTGAAGGACCAATACAACCATGTCATCATTGTTTTTAACATTCCAATGTAGTTCAATAAATAATAGTCACATGATATATAAACTTGTTTAAATTGTTATGAATAAACTAATGCGCAGCAAAAATACATATTACATTATACAGAGTAGAAGAGACCCTCTTCAAATCAGTCTATAACTTTTGATGCCGGCAACCCTCAGATCCCTTGTCTCTGCTGTCTTTAACAAAACAAGCTCGTTGAAGCCATAACATCGTTCTACTTTGTACTTTTATAGGACAACTGCGCATATATGTCTGTCTAGCAGGAACCAGTAATGGACATTTGATAGAATTGCTCATGGTCAAACATTTAAGTAAATTTACTGTTCCCTTAAAGTTTTCGACCTTTATCTGTACATAACTTTGAAGTTTTTTTCTAAATATGCATGTGTAGTCTAAACTGTCAAAAGTTCAAGATGTTATGACATTTAAATGACCTTACTGATGCCAACTTAAAAAGTTTCCTCATTCCTTTCATTACCCAATACTGTACATGTAAAATAATCACACTGACAACATTGCTGTTATGACGTTACGTATTGTAATGAGTCCATCTGTACTTCAGTACTTTGATTGGGTTATAAAACTTATAATCAGTGCCATTTTCTACAGAAATTAAACGACTTATCATGATCTTATCTTCAATTTACAATAATAAGTAATGAAGATAAATTGATATTTTCTACAAATTGCAATAAAATAGTGGTAAAGCTGAACATTTCATTGTTCAAAAATAAATAAATGGTAAGCTGATTTAAAACGTTTTAACATGCTGTATGTATCCACCCTCATCTTATCTTAGAATATATCCCCCCCCCCATTCACTGTGCCAGATGGACCAAACACATGTTCCATAAATTTTAGAACACGAAATCCTTTTTGTAGATCCCCTCTTTTCTAGTAAAATGTCCGTTAAATGTTTACCTTAAAAAACAACTTTAATATAACACTAATTCCATCTTATAACTTATAATTCTTAGACATTCTTTTGGTGTCATATTTAATTCTTTAAACAAATAAAGTATCATTAAAAAACAAATTGAAAATATGAAACAATTTGAATGTTGTGTAAAAAGGCAGTAATCATTTTTAAACAAAATGGCAAATGTAAAACTTAAATTGTCATTCATTTCCTTCTAAAGCTTACTATTGTACTATCCTAAATCGGCTCTTTATTTACCTTGTTAACAAATAATTATCCTTTTATTCAATAAATTACTTTAGACTAAACCGTTCACACGCAGTTAAAGACGAAGTTTAGATTTTAATTTCATAAAAAATGTTGGAGCATCGTATCTTTAGAGACGATTTTTTCCCACATGCATCAAGAACTACTTCGATGGAACATTTAAATTTCTGTGAAATTTTCAGTGTGTAGGCGTTAAGCAATGCTA